AGTGTCAGGAAATAGGACTGGTGTTAGTGGTGCTCCCTTATCGCCTATTCCGCTCACGTGCCGCGTTGGTCCGGTTCTCGCTCCCAGAATTCGCAAAACCTTTAAAGTGTCAAAGTGTCGATCGAGAACGCTTCCCAAATCCTCGCCCGCCGTCACCGCCCTCATTTGTCGTGCAACGGTGTTAGCATTGTTAATTTTCGTCTCCTCCCTGCACTGTGGTGTTTGCACCGTGGTGGTCCACCAATGCAGTGTACAACAACACTCAACACCGTCTCGAAGGCTTCGCAAACTGAAAGATGGGCACGGACTTGGACCAGACGCATACTGCCGGTGCCTTCCTACGTGGACTCACCGTGATCCTCGTTCTCAGTCTGCAGTGCCTGTACCGCGGTGCTGAAGCGTACAAGGTGGGCATGAAGTACGCCCAGTGCAACACGCTGCGTGTGGAACACGGCACCGCAGCATCGCAACCGCTCCAGAGCAGTCCGTATCGCATAACCACTGACACGACGTGTGGCTACCAAGCAGGACAGCTTTACAACCGTAAGTGAAAACACAATGTACACACAGTTCTAAAGAAGAAAAGAGGATCAAAGAGCTACACGTTACGCTATGTGTCCCCTAAGGGTGCGTTCAGACTACCGATAAAAAGTGACCGGTTGGGAAAGTTTCCAAGGTGATTTGATCACGTGACGTTATTGGCATGTTACCGGCAGAACAGTTTTACTGCCGCGGCTGCTGTGGCGGTAACACTTTTCCGGCAGTAAAAAAAGTGCTCAGACTGGGAAAAAGGGAAAATCCTTTCTCAGTACCGCGGTGAGAGCTGCAAAACTTACGTAACAGTAACGTTAGTTTATCGTAGTGCGAATGTCCTTCAAGGTTTATCGCCATTCACGGTTTGACGGGATTCACAGTAGTCTGAACGCGCCCTAACAGCACCAGTTACTTGACGATCAGTTCATGCCGGGTAACATTGCACGACACTGACCAACGGTACTGACGTTCTACACATAACTGGCAACGTCAAGTAACTGTTGGTGATAGTGGATATTATAGCGTAACTTGTAGCTCTTTGGTTCTCTTTTCTTCTTATAAACTAATCTTTGGCTCTCAACCCAAGTCTAGCTATATACACAGTTCTTTTTAGGGGTGAAACAATTCTACCGAATACTCGAGTACGCGCTCGATTTTTTCAAAAATAATCGTACTCGGAATAAATCAGAGCACTCGTTCATCCATGGTACATGCATTTACCATAGAAATCTACACACGGTTTCAGGGCAGCAGTTGGCAGATATTGATGTGCAGACTGTGTGGTGAACATTTGACCACGAGTCGCCCTTTCCCAAAGATGCCATAGTGTTTCGCAACTTACGCTTTTCGCAACCTTGTCAAAACAAGTGATAGTTGCTGAAATCGCGTCCATATTTTCAGAAAAAGCTCAGAAGTTGCTAATATCGCAACCTAAATTTGGAGAGTAGTTGTGCAAAACCACCAAAATAGGAGCGGAAATAGCAGAAGTGCAGCGACAGCAAACTCGTACACCCCTTCCTGCTGTGAACCACCACTTTCCACAGTGCCAGTAGCCTGTTGCATGTATCCTACATCATTCCAGTGCGCGGAAAAGGGAATGCACATTATCGTAACTACCGTTGAACTACCGTTTCTCTGAAAAGAGTCTGAAGGCAGACGCGAGAAATGACCGAGTACTAGTAGCAAGAGTACATAACCCCCCAGAGGGTGCAACACCTGATCCAGCTCTACATAGGGTCTTGGCAAGAGTACATAACCCCCCAGAGTGTGCAACACCTGATCCAGCTCTGCATAGGGTCTTGGCAAGAGTACATAACCCCCCCCCCCCCAGAGTGTGCAACACCTGATCCAGCTCTGCATAGGGTCTTGGTCGAGCGGAATCGGATCTTTGCGTCATAATACCGTACACATCTGAGGGGAACCCGGGGGGTCGCGGGTACTCTTGGATCAAAAACAATGGTGCCCTGCCTCGAGACCGGCCTTGCGCTGGTGTGGAGTGTATGCATGACATCAGAAGATCCGATTCCGCTCGACCAAGACCCTATGCAGAGCTGGATCAGGTGTTGCACACTCTGGGGGGTTATGTACTCTTGCTAGTATGCATTTGTCTGACATGTAGTCGGTGACTTGATATTTTGACCCCATGCCATGGGGCCAAGGTTGCAGAAAAGTTGCGAAATAGTTCGCGAAAATGAAGAAAGTTGCGGAAGTTGCGATTTCTTCCTAAACAACGGAAAGTTGCGAAAAAAGTGGCGAGCATCTTTGGGAAAGCGCTAACCACGAGCAGAGAGAGCCAAAATTACCCAGCAACCAATATACCCGAGAAAAATGACTGCTTATCGGTTCAATCAGGGTCGTATCATGTGCACATTTTAGGAGATGAAGAATACTCGAATACTCGAATATTCAATCGGAGAAAATCAGAGTACTCGAATTCGGGATCTCATTGCCAACTTTCACCCCTAGTTCTTTTAAAACAGAACAAGGAAAATGCACTTGTAACGAGACTTATCTTGTAACAGGACTTGCAGCTAAATATGAAATAGGCACTAATTCGTACTTACCTGGGCTACCTCAATACAACATAAATTCTCGGCACTTCAACTCGTTATAAGATAATTGAAAATCTCCAACATAGCTCCTCCTTGGATGCAAAAGATCGTCCATATCTACGAATACATACTCAATCTGCAGACAGCAGATACATAGATAGAATATGTTGCGTCTTTCTGCTTTATCCTATGTGTGTTTTGGCCTTGGTTGTGCATGGTCAGTATTATCTTATACTGAGGGTTTGGCACTCTATGGACCTGGGCAAAAGGGTAGTTATAACGAAGTTTATGTACAAACGAATTATGTTGTAACCGGACCTATAAACAGTTGTATAGACCACGTTTCGCCAGGAGATGTCCGATTTCTATTTACTAACGGGTAGGGTGAAAGTTGGCAATGAGATCCCGAGTTCTAGTACTCTGATTTTCTTCGTTAGAATATTCGAGTATTCGAGTATTCTTCATCTCCTAAAAAGTGCACACTAAGGGCCTTAAGGTGGCAGCCTGGTCCTAAATCCCTAAAAAATCGAAATTGGAAATTCACATCGAGTGCTACATCAGTTGAAAGAGCATGAACAGCTGCAACATCTCTGAAAATTTTGTCTCGATCTGACCAGCCGTTCAAGAGTTATGGCCGAAAATGTGCCCTTGCAAGGAAAGATTTTTTTGTTGCACGCTGTCATTTGCTGGCAGCACTGTATTTGAATGTGAGCAGACCGTGCGCATCTTGTCGTTTCATGGAAACACGCGAAAGTGTGCAGAATTTTGCTCCAAGTCCAAAAAATCACGTTAAAAAACCACGTGCAGCAGGACTTTTGCCAGCACCCTCGTGACGTTGCAGATATGTGGCTTGATTATTGTAGTTGACGTTGATTTAGTGACTTTGGCAAGTATGAGTCGTGTCAAGAAGTCAGGTAGGATTCAGTACTAGGCAGTAGCAGAACGTGAGTGGTAGTCTTTGCCGATTTTGGAGGGTATCCTGGGTTCGGTTTGAAGCGCTGTGGAAATGGCTTGCTGTGGAGGTCCCAGCACTGGATGTTGTATCAAAGGTACGACCTCTTAGCACGCCCTGAACCTAAAAAATTCAAAAATTGACTTGGGTCTGTGGGAGTCTGTGACAGAACGCCCACTCCTGCCGTTGTGACAGATTCCAGGGCCACGTCGAAGGGCCCTATCCCACCACCCATGGCTGCTTCTGGACGTTTTTTAGGCTTGGATCCTGCGCACGGACAGAATTGGCTAGAAAATGTGAAAAAATTGTAGATGTATTTGTTTGGCTCCTGGGTGGCTCGCCAACCGTGGCACTATGCCGGAATTTTGAGTCTTTCCGGCCTGTAAAGCCTGTCAGTGAGGCACAAGAACTTTTAAATCATGTCCAGAGGGCCAGCATAGTGGCAGGAGTGTGTGGTGCAAATTTCACTCAAATCCATTGAGAGACACCAAAGTTACGGTCAATTGAATGCAATATGAAATTTAGGACCAGGCTGCTACCTTAAAATCACATGATACAACCCTGATTGAACCGAGTAGCAGTCATTTTTCTCGGGTATATTGGTTGGTGGGTCATTTTGGCTCTCTCTGCTCGTGGTCAAATGTTCACCACACAGTCTGCACATCAATATCTGCCAACTGCTGCCCTGAAACCGTGTGTAGATTTCTATGGTAAATGCATGTACCATGTATGAACGAGTACTCTGATTTATTCCGAGTACAATTATTTTTGAAAAAACCGAGCGAGTACTCGGGTATTCGGTATAATTGTTTCACCCCTACGAGTAACGGGGTTTGTGTACTAACCGGACTCGTTATAATGAGGGAGGACCTGTGCCCGTTATAATTTACTATAAGACAAATGATTTCAAGCCCTGGGGCTGTCTACCAGGGCAGATACGCATTTCCTATCCATGAGCGATATTGACTGCCACTGACACGCAACTATCTGCTGCTGACCAGGTCACGGTTTGACCTTAGAACTACCCAAAATAGTCATTGCTTTGTGTCTCGTGTCCGCACCATCTTTGCCAACACCCGCTTTGAACCCGCTGGTTTCATTCCTTCCAGAGTTTCTGTAACATAGTAACGCCTGAATGTTATGGCTGATTTCTACAGTACGCATTTGTTATAACCCTTCCTCTTCTCAATCTATAATGTTATAATTTTGCAGATATATTCCCAGTAAGCCATGAACGGAGACCCCCTCGACTTAGGCCTCGGCCTTTGGGGAATCCATAAATAAATAAATAAATAAAATAAACCTGTTGGATGACAAGCTTACACCCTGCACACCGGAATGATGTCGTTATTTGAGGTGCCACACCCACAGAGTCACCCAGTCCCAAGCCTAGGCTTGCCACCCAGCACAAAGCACCCACAGAGTCGCCCAGTCCCAAGCCTAGGCTTGCCACCCAGCACAAAACACCCACAGAGTCGCCCAGTCCCAAGCCTAGGCTTGCCACCCAGCACAAAACACCCACAGAGTCACCCAGTCCCAAGCCTAGGCTTGCCACCCAGCACAAAACACCCACAGAGTCGCCCAGTCCCAAGCCTAGGCTTGCCACCCAGCACAAAACACCCACAGAGTCATCCAGTCCCAAGCCTAGGCTTGCCACCCAGCACAAAACACCCACAGAGTCATCCAGTCCCAAGCCTAGGCTTGCCACCCAGCACAAAACACCCACAGAGTCACCCAGTCCCAAGCCTAGGCTTGCCACCCAGCACAAAACACCCACAGAGTCACCCAGTCCCAAGCCTAGGCTTGTCACCCAGCACAAAACGTGTCGGTATAAAGATGGTGTCTTTTTTTGAGGTGTTTTCCCGTGACAGAGCGATCTCCCAAGCTTGGTCTTGCCACCCAGCACATGTGCAAAGCATGTTGGTGGCATGATGATGTCATTGAGAATCTAACCTTTGTTTAGAGGCTGATCCGTGCGAGCTTGTTTGTCGTTGCCTGCACCACAGTCACCATCACCGGTCCAGCACTGTCAGGCTTTGTCTGCCGTGGTCAGAAGACTAGAACCATACTGCTAACGGACGCAGTCGGGTCTTTTCCCACCAGGTTCTCTCTGCCCTTCACTGCAGGGAGTCCATGTTATCCTTCAAGTGTAAGCAATATGTATCCGTGCACATCTGAATTGATTTGTGCTTGTGTGTGTGTGTGTGTGTGTGTGTGTGCTTGTGTGTGTGTATGTGTGTGTGTTTGTGTGTGTGTGTGTGTGTGTGTGTGTGTGTGTGTGTGTGTGTGTGTGTGTGTGTGTGTGTGTGTGTGTGTGTGTGTGTGTGTGTGTGTGTGTGTGTGTGTGTGTGTGTGTGTGTGTGTGGTGTGTGCGTGCATGTGTGTGTGTGCGTGTGTGCGTGCGCGTATCTGTGCCCATCCAAATGGATTGATGATGGGGTGAGGTGGGTGATGGTGGTGGTGAGGTGGATGATGGTGGTGGTGAGGTGGGTGATGGTGGTGGTGGGGTGGGTGATGGTGGTGGTGGGGTGGGTGATGGTGGTGGTGAGGTGGGTGATGGTGGTGGTGAGGTGGGTGATGGTGGTGGTGAGGTGGGTGATGGTGGTGGTGGGGTGGGTGATGGTGGTGGTGAGGTGGGTGATGGTGGTGGTGGGGTGGATGATGGTGGTGGTGAGGTGGGTGATGGTGGTGGTGAGGTGGGTGATGGTGGTGGTGAGGTGGGTGATGGTGGTGGTGGGGTGGGTGATGGTGGTGGTGAGGTGGGTGATGGTGGTGGTGGGGTGGGTGATGGTGGTGGCGAGGTGGGTGGTGGGGTGGGTGATGGTGGTGGTGAGGTTCGGCTACACCCCACAGCGTACCACTGATCCTACAGTGCTGGCTAGAGAATTCCAACCTCATGAATAAAGTAGCGCCGCGTTCAAGTGCGCAGCTGGCCAGTGCGTGTAGTGCTACAATCCATTCATTGGAAACTGGCACCCTAACTTTTTGGTGTCTCTCTCATATAGTTGTAGATATCGTGAAAACAACAGTGACATCCTGCATTGTGTGACCCGTGCAATTACTCCTTGCCACATTTGAGGCCAGAAAAGTCCAAGAACAGGGAAATAGAAATTCAGCCAGGTTTTACAAAATTAGGACAGGTATGCCATGGCAAAATATATGGAGAAGCAGATCCAAAACCAAGATTTTTGAGATTTAAAGTGGGTTTTTGATCCTCAATTCGGCCCAACTCCGACTTTCAAAAGACAGCAGGCCAGTTTCCGATGAATGGACTGTAGGGCTGCGTAGCGCCCGGCAACGCTATTCTATTCACGGGGCTGGATTTCTCTCCGGCCAGCACTGTACAATACGCGTTACATTCAGGATGCGAGTGTGAACTTTCTGCATACCCAAACACGCGGGCACATACGGTTTCTTTTCTTTTTTTGGTGGGAGTTGAACGCTCTGCTGATGTCGATGAATTATGATTTCAGATTTGCCAAGCTAAAATTAACCCTTTACCTTCGGTACGCACATGAATCGACCGAATTCGGTCGATGAATGCACGCACAGAAAGTGCATGAAAACTCCGTGACCGTTCACCGGAAGCATGCCAAACTTTGGCTGCGGGTCCCTGAGATCATGCTGCACACGTACAGATCGAAAACGAACAGTCGTCCCACTCAATGTCATGCCGAAAATCGGCTTTGAAAATCACGCTCCAAATATTTATCGTACATTTGAAATTGAGTACAGTGTTTGGAGACAACGATGAATGCTGACGAGGCCCTCAATTATTTCGAGCGGATAGATGACGGGGACGTCTCCGATATTTGTTATTCATCCAGCGAGGGTGAGTTCAGCGACGATTCCGCGTCAGATTCGGAACAAGACGCCCCCGATTTTGAAAACGGTGAAGTAGAAAATATTGACAGCAGCGACATCGACAGCAGCGACATCGACAGCAGCGAGGACTCTGCTACTGAGGCTGACGAAGTAAGCGCTCGTGGCGCTCGCGGAGGACGTGGCAGAGGACGTGGCAGAGGACGTGGCAGAGGACGTGGCAGAGGACGTGGAAGAGGCCGAGGTGGTCGAGGAGGTAATGCTCAACCTGCCCCCACACATGGTGACGCACATGGTGACATTGCTGATGATGTGCGTGCTTGGAGTGATGATGATGTAGCACCTAGTGCAGGACAACTGCCAGATTTTCACCCACCGCGTCCTCAGGGAGTTCACCTGCCTGATAATTGCAATCCCCAGAACGAGTTGGATTTTTTCCAACTATTTATTGGGCCAGTTGAGTTCCAGAAAATTGCAGATGCTACGAATGAGTATGCGTGGATGAACAACCTAGACTATCCCTGCTACGCAGACAGATATGGAGCATGGAAAGAATGCACTGCAGATGAGATGCAGAAGCTTATTGGTCTACTTCTGTATATGAGTATGTTTCGTTTGCCCCAGCTCAGTGACTATTGGCGGATAACGTCCCTTTTTCACGGCACATGGGCAAGGGCCTTCATCCCATCACGCGACCGTTTCAGGGCACTCATGACATTCCTGCATGTTAGTCTACCATCTGAAGAGGACCAAGATGACCAGCTGCGCAAACTGAGGTGGTTGGATACCCACATGAAGCAACAGTGCAAGAAGTATTTGCAACCTGGCCAATTCGTCAGTGTCGATGAACGCATGATAAAGATGAAAGGGCGAAGCACGCTACGTCAATACATGCCAAACAAGCCTATAAAATGGGGAATCAAGCTGTTTGCTTTGGCTGATGTAACAACATCATACCTTGTCGACTTCGATGTCTACTGTGGTGCTGTGCATGGTCAGACAGAAGTTGGACTTACCCATGCTGTGGTCGTGAACTTGACCGAAAACTACCAGCAAGCCGGATACATTGTCTTTACCGACAATTTCTACACGTCTCCACAACTGGCAACGTCACTGCTTCAAAATGGGTGCCATCTTGTTGGCACAGTTCGAGTCAACCGGCAGCAGATTCCACGACCACTGAAGACTACAAAACAGTTCGAAAAACGTGAGCGTGGCTCAATGCGCTATGTCAGGAATGGTCAAATCGTTGTCGTTCAATGGAAAGATCGCAAAGTGGTTACAATGTTATCGACGTATCACAAAGCCACCGACCATGTAATGAAGCAGCGTCATGCCAAGGTCAACGGCCAACATGTGCATGTGGATATCAAGACCCCCCAAGTAGTCAATGAGTACAACCATGGCATGGGTGGAGTTGATGTCTTTGATCAGCGGTGCACTCCATATCGAGTCAGCAGAAAGAGCAGGAAGTTTTGGAAAGCCATCTTTTTCGACTACCTGGAGATATCGTGTGTGAACAGCATGGTACTGTTTGAGTCCTACAGGTCGGAGCATCCTGAGATCCAGAGGAACGTCACGTATGACCATGAAGAGTTCAGGGTTCAGCTCATGCGCCAACTTGGTGGCATTGCTAGTGACGCTGACGTCCCTCTGTACAAGAAGCCCCGTCCTCCTCCTGGCCGCCGATCTGCAGCAGGTAGGGCTGCTCCACTTGCTCCTGGTTTGCACCTGCCAGTCCACACTGCCGGCATCAGGAGAAATTGCCATTGGTGCTACAACTTCTCTGAGCAGAGAGTGGAGCGTAAATGCCAAACCAAGTGCCGTACTTGTGATCACTACTTCCACATCGAGCGGCACAATTGTTTCGAGAAGTATCATCTTCACCACAAGGCCTAGCTTGTCGTGGATTCAGTTCAGCAGCACCTGCTATGTACATATGTAAAAAGAACAGGAACAACTATGTAAAATAACAATTGCAGCCTGTAAGTCCTGCAGTACATCGTTCGCAATGAATCAATTTTGTGTTTCGGTCTTTTTGGCAAGAAATAATCGGAATTTCTTATTTATTTTGGTGTCAAACGATTCAGTGATACATTGCCATTCAGAAAAATATGCCTTCCTACATAGTAAAAGTGAACCAATAATGAGTTATACTTGATTCAAATCTGCCGGTCTGCTCCTGTACATTTATGGTCAGAAGGTAAAGGGTTAAAAATCCTAATTAAAAATCCTATATTTGGATGGAAGCCTTTGGTCCATTCTCTCCTCCTAATTTTTTAAATTCCTCTTTAATACCTTTTTTAAAACTCTAAGATCTATTTTGCTGCTCTAAACCAGTGCTAGTCACTGAATGTTCACCGAGCCTGGAACCTTGTTCAGTGGTACAGTCAACTTCGCTTATAACGACACTCGGCGGGGCATCAGAAAAGTGTCTCGAAGTTATTCGCGAAGTGTCGTTATACCCGAAGTCTCATTACATGTGTCACAGTTGGATGGGACTTTGCTCTGGGCATGGAAATTCTGTCGTTATTCGCGAATTGTCGTTATAGCCGCAGTCGTTATTAGCGAAGTTGACTGTACTCGGATAAGACGTATCCCCTCGGGGGAATGGGAAAAGTGGGTAGTATCTGAGGTAGTTCTCATCCAAAGTTGACTCCTGCGGCCCCGCTAATACAATGCCGAATCATGTGCAGTATGTCAAAATGCTCAAATGTGTTTCTAAAACTCCTCTCAGAAATGTACGAGTGGTTGCTGTCACCAAACCAGGCTTCACCACGCTGCAAACGCCGTGACCTCCTCCAGCACTGTCACGGTGACATACCTTATACTTAAAAGTACTTGTCAAGCGGTCCTGTCATGTGTGTGGCGGGGCGGGTACATGTATACCAAATCACCAAAATCTTAGTACAGTATTTAAAGTCGACAAATTTTCGGCCCATTCAAATTTCGGCCTCCCGGGGCTACAACACATTTAGGCTGCAACAGATTTTCGGCCTGCACTGCTGCTTGCCGCCTGTATACACCGTCACACTGAACCTTGCAAAACCAAAATTTAATGTCGGCTGCAACAGATTTTCGGCCAAACATGACCAGGCCGAAAATACCCGGAAATAACTATGCGCCGAATATTTGTCGACATGCAGTAGCTAAATTACGAGGCTAGGTCTGTTGGGACCTGCTGACAAGTCTGTCATACACGAGCTGTAAGTCTTGTCAGTGTACGTCTTATCCGTACGAGTATACCCTGAGCAGGAGTGTATATGGAAGTTTATACCATGGTACGGTACGGAGGGCCTGTTTTCAGCCAATCAGCGCTCGTCTAGCCATGGTTATATTGGCCAGTATAAATCCCGCGCGGGATTTATATAGAATATAAATCCCGGTGCACGGTACGTACGCTAGGGCACTGCCACCGTACATGTTCACTGCCTGAAAGGCAGTGAACTTGTACGGCGGCAGTACTCCAGCGCACGGACCACACATAAACAGACACAACGGACACCACATGCACGTGTACACTCCACACAGAACGGCACACTGACGAGGAACAGTACACAATGGAAAAGAAGAATGACCTGGAATTCGTCTACAGAGTATTCTGTTATACTGAATCTGAGGATAAAGAACGTCGAATAACCACGAAGTATCCCGAATGGGTCAGCAATGTACATTGTACTTCGAAGAGTTGAAGATCATCAACAGACTGTCTCCTTCGTAATAAGTTTATAATACCAGTCACGGTACATGTACTTCAACCCGATTGGAAAATGCTACAATAGATTGGATTGAAATGTGATACAAAACAGTGTATGCAAATGCATCTACTTGCAAGCAAAACTGATTATAAGATGCCGCATGTGAAAATCAGCACTGTACCATAATTATAGTAACACTTACTCCCAAAGAGTCCAAGCTGTAATCTACTAGTGACGGTAGTTTGATTCAACGACAAACTCCAGCACCGCAGCAATTCAGTCGACTTCCGCACCGCTCACGACTCAAGACAAGATCATGAAGATGCCACAATATGCACTGGAACTGAAAGGAAATCTTATGCCAAACATCCACGGAGGAATCTCCTTCTGATCTTGCTCGACCATTCTTTCAATTGATAACTGATAACCACCAGAAGATGTTCATGTACTGCATGATGTAGGAGATCTCCAAATAGGTTCGTTGTTCTGGAAATGCGTAGGGGTACCTGGCATAAGTAGGATATGACCCTCGTAGTCGGGTTATACCGTACCCTCATATAAATCCCTCCTGCTATCGCAGTCGGGATTTATATTCAGCCGGTATAACCCTCTGACTCGGGTTATATCCTCTACATAAACACCAAATACAAACCGAGGCCGAACGCCGAGGTTTGTGTGACGGTGTATACTTTCCATATACACTCCAGCAAAGGGTACATCCGACTTCTACCTACCTCAGTCTGAATCCTAAAAAGGAGTACACCTGGTACACTCGGACGTCTCTTATCCGGGCACCTTGGGACCGGGCACGCCCGTTTCTCAGAATTGCCCGTATCTCAGGATAACTCATCTATCACGTACCATATCAGTTTATGATGAAGTCTATTTGGCACGTATCGGACATGCTCAGGATAAAAAAGAATCCATTAATGAAAATGTGTCGATTACACAAGTTGGTAGTGACAAATATGGAATTATGCATGCGAAAAAAGGTTCAAAATCCCCAAATTCGAAGCATTTTGCCACAGGAACTCGAGCTGAAGGTGCCCAATAGAGAGACATGCCCGTATATGAGGCGTCCGGATAAGAGACGTTTGAGTGTTTTAACAGTATTTATTTCACTCCTATGGTGTATATTAACAGTACAGGTCAGACCTCGCTATAACGTAATCTCTGGGGGATGGGAGAAATTATGTTATAGCGAGGTTTATGTTATAATGAGTTGGGCACACCAATATGCAATATGTATGTCAAAATGACACTCTTCACTTACTGATTACAACTGTACTGTTTTACATACAGGTATGATGATGACTAGCAAAGATGTGTACAGACTACAGGCTTGTCAGCAAAGGGGTGACAAGAGTCATGTAGTGCGTGTACTTGTACAATCATGTGACAAGATTAGGCCACACGTTTTTATTTCTATGTTTCTCGTCACCTGAAAATCTAGAAATGTATGCGAGAGGTGGAAAAAAATAAAAAATGACCGAAAAATAAAAAAAGTTTATTAGACCTTTGTTCAAACTAAAATCCACCAATACACCATGCAAAATAGCATCCATAGTTAGCAACTAGTATGTGGTAGGAGCTTCTGTCACAATCTGTGCATGTGCAGCTAGATTGCGCACAAAAAATGGCGACCTCGCATCATGTGTCGCGCAGGCCAGGCCACATTATGTACATGTGCATGAGTGTGCTGGTCCCCACATGCACAGTCAGTGCAGCACATTTTTTTCTTTTTTTCCTCCAGACTCCTGAATCGTATGCACGCGGGTGACGAGAAACATAGAAATAAAAACGTGTGGCCTTAGAGCCTATAAAAAGTAATGGGAGTACTAAAATACCGGTATTTTACTACTCCCTGCGTCCGAGGTGGACGGCTCAGTCTCGAATTCGTCGCCAGAAGGCATGCATGCCGTGTAAATAGTCATTTTTATACGAGTTTTTACGTTATGCTGAGGTCTCCGTGCGCCCGGGACCCAGCAAACAGTGTGTTATAGCGAACATTACGCTATAGCGGATTATGTTATAGCGAGGAAATTTTGTACAGAAGTGATGCGGTTTCGGCAGGGACATTCACATTTGTACGTTGTAGTGAGGTTTATGTTATAACGGGGGTCGTTATAGCGAGGTCTGACCTGTATTTATTTCTCCACAGTGGTGTATATTACCAGTATTTATTTTTCTTCTAGAAAATACAGTGAATATACACTGGCCGAGGCTCTGTGTAATGAATGGGGGGTGTATATTAAGGTACTTCAAGTAGGTATCAGCATTTGTATATGAGCTTATGGGAGAATATCCGTGCACCAAAAAAGGCCATTACTAACTACTTTACTATGGCTGTATTCGATTGTGGTAACTGGACCCCGATCCCCGCCAACCCGGTCACTTCGATCGGACGGATACAATCGAATGTGCACACCTGATAATCTGTTTCAAGACCTTAGCAACCACATTGCTACAGCTCATCCCGTAGTATCTGTACGCAGTATGGTGAACTCTTGACCTATTGTATGCATATTGTGGAGTTTTGAGTAGATACGAGTCGTACCATGGAAATGAATCCGGCGAATCCGCCTCTGGGAGGTGGGTTGACTGGATCCGAATCTGTGCTCCCCGGATCCGGATTCATAAAATCGAACATGTACGAATTTGGCGAATCCAGGTCCGGGGCCCACGGATTCGTACAGTTGAACATGCCCTAAGTGAGTTCCACCGTATCAGACCAGCCAGGGGCGTAGCTGGTCGCCACTCTTACAGTCCATTCATCGGAAACAGTCCCGCTGGCTTTTGAAAGTCGGATTTGGGCCGAATTGAGGATCAAAAACCCACTTTAAATCTCAAAAATCTTGGTTTTGGATCTGCTTCTCCATACATTTTGCCAGGGCATACCTGTTCTAATTTTGCAAAACCTGGCTGAATTTCTATTTCCCTGTTCTTGGACTTTTGTGGCCTCAAATGTGGCAAGGAGTAATTGCACGGGTCACACAATGCAGAATGTAATGTTGTTTTCATAATATGTACAACTATGTGCGGGAGACACCAAAAAGTTAGGGTGCCAGTTTCCAATGAATGGACTGTAGGGGCATGTGCGGCCGCTTCACCAAACTGCATGGTGTTATCTGTATCGTATCATGTGTATATTAAATGGCTGGCGCATGTCATCATGGTCGTCATGTGCATGTCGAACCTAGATCAAAATTTTACAGGCGGAGTGGGGGGAGGGGGGGGGGTGCACGTGCTCCCGTGCCTCATGCAGGCAACGCGCCTGAGATATTAGTTTTTTTTCCGAATGCACCTCCTACTGATAGACCATAACAAAGAGAGGAGAAGAAGAAGACAAAAGAAAATAGTGATCGAGACAACAAAGGAGAAAGACAGCCAATGTACTAGTAGGGCCTGATCCAGCAGGACTTACTGTAATTATCTATAACCTGGATTTTGTTGTTTATTGATGTCATTTTCTTCCCAATGACAGAGTGGGCTGATGAACCTTTATCAGACGTCTAAAACCCACAAGTATGCAAGCCCATTGCGCCTTGTTTGGCAAGCACCAGCGGCAGATGAAGGTGGCATAGAGATCACGTGAGTGGGGTTGTCGCGAATCTCACGACGGAGATTCCGAATTATTTATCTTTAATACGTACTTTATCGCAAAGAAAAAAAGGACCAAGAAACTACAAGTTACGCTACAATGTCCACTAACACCACCAGTTACCAATTAGCTAAACAATCAGCTCATGCGATAACATTGCACGACACTGAACGGCGCTACTGACTTTGGTGTACTTTTTTTCCGCATGAGACTTTCTCTCGCGTACGACCGCCATATTTATTTATTTATTTTCTATAGCAACGAGGTCAGGACACAGAGGAAAGGAAGCCCGGCCCAGTGCTCCTTCGCTCACATAGATGAAATTGTCTCTTCACAGAGAGAACTACTAGCACACGTGTTATGATAGTTAGGCTTCTCCCTCAGTCCTGAATACAATCAGAAGTATTTGAAGACAACTATTTCGCCAGAGAAGTATGTATCCAGTTGATCAGAATCAGTCTTTCAATAGATCTCCCAAGCCGGTATTTTTCCTCAGAGTACATGTCCTTTTCTATTGGAAGTGTATTTAAAAAAGCCTGTAACTATTAAATGACCACCCCTTGGGGCCAGAAAAGCGGTCTTTAGTGGCAGGTGGTCTTGAGTGGCAGGTTTGTACCACGCAGTGTGTGTGTATGTGTGTGTGTGTGTGCGTGCGTGCGTGTGTTCATGAGAGGTGGGGAATCTAGCTAGGGCCTAAGGGATTCAGAATGATTTTTTGATAATAGAGAGGCTCAATACTACGTAAAGTTGAGCAACTCTGCGTAAGTGGGCGGGAAAAACCCGTGTATTCGCGAGTTTGCACTCCAATTGCGGAAAATTGTCCACGCTGAGTACGTAGATGGAGCTCTACTAACGGAGGTGCTCTGTAAGTGGATTGGGGTATGACTCCCTCCCGAGGTCGTTCAATGTCACGTTTGGAGTTGCCAGGGGCAGCTACGGGACAGGAAAAATATCGTGCGGCAGAACACAAATGCGCGTGCGGTGTACGTAAGACTTTCCGTAGATCTATTGCTTGGTTTTTACTAGCGTAATTACGGTGTGCGGAACCTCTCTGTATATTACGGAATAGGAACAAGCCAAATTGCTGTCCGTTCATGCCGTTGTCGTTGTTCAGATGTTCCCTGGTGACCAACTTCAACGTTTTCTACACGACACAGAGAAGTGTTGTCATCCCGTTTAACCCAAGTGTAAGCTTCAGGTGATTATGTGTGTGTGTACGTGTGTGTGTGTACGTGTGTGTGTACGTGTGTGTGTACGTGTGTGTGTATGTGTGTGTGTGTACGTGTGTACGTGTGTATGTGTGTGTGTGTGTGTGTGTGTGTGTACGTGTGTGTGTGTGTTGTCATCCCGTTTAACCCAAGTGTAAGCTTCAGGTGATTATGTGTGTGTGTACGTGTGTGTGTGTACGTGTGTGTGTACGTGTGTGTGTACGTGTGTGTGTATGTGTGTGTGTGTACGTGTGTACGTGTGTATGTGTGTGTGTGTGTGTGTGTGTGTGTACGTGTGTGTGTGTGTACGTGTGTGTGTATGTGTGTGTGTGTGTGTGTGTGTGTGTGTGTGTGTGTGTGTGTGTGTGTGTGTATGTGTGTGTCAGGAGAATGAAAGAAAAGTCAGGAAGAGTCTCTTCCTGAGTTTTCTTTCATTCTCCTGGGTGGTTACCAACAGCCAGTGTATGCCGGAGTATGTGGTGTGGTGTGTGTAGAAAAAAAAGAAAACAAATGGAAAACAAATGAAAAAATGGGATTCACTGGCCAGAAAAAGTCACTTCAATCAGCTGTGTGGTGGACACCAGGCTACAAATAGTGGCGGTCAATTCATCGGCCTTGCAAGCTGTTGAATGGTGTAATCCCAGCACAAGTTGCTATGTCTAACATAGCTGTTCGCTATCATCGCTTCCGCGATGGGCAGGTCTGAGGTCTGAGGTGTGTGTGTGTGTGTGCGTGTGTGTGTGTGTGTGTGTGTGAGCATGCGCACGAGTGTGTGTATGTGTATGTGTGTCTGTGTATTTGACTGCTCGTGTGCTCCGGATGGCAGTCATGAGTCAGTCAAATGTCAAGTTCGGCAAGAAACGTGCGTTCCTCGTTGGAACAACCAACTCCACTTATCCAGGTTATCTTTTTTTAAATCTGTTCTCACTTCCAGTCCATCGTCATCATAACATTGGGCATGATTGCCCATTTGACTTGAGATGTAAAATAAAACATATGTGTGGATTCACAGGAAGTGTGAGTTACGAAGTCTGAAGAAAATGTTGAACGCTCTCTGCTGGGATGACGCCTACACCTCAGCTCAGCGGTTAGAGCATCGCTGGCCTCAAGCGAAGGTCCCTGGTTTGAATCCTGGTGGTGACAGTCAACTTTTCCTTCAGACTTTTCCAGTCAGTTGTGTCTTTCCCTCAAACCAGTGAATCTGTAAGACCAGGTATTTTAACATCAATTAAAGCGGATATTTGTGGGTTAGCGAGGTGAAATTCTGACGAATTGTGTCTCAAAAACTGGCAAATGGCTGTGGACGTACATAATAGTTTTGCACATAACGACTTCAAATGGTAACGAATTTTTCAAATGTTCCTTACCATTACTGGTCTTCCAGTACAATACACCCGATGTGATTACCGCCAACAGTCATAGGTGTACGGTGTCAGCCGCAAACTGGCTTCTCAAGATTTCAGCGTGTTCGCAGGCACGCAGGGGGCAGGGCAAGTGTGTACGTAAGTGGTCCCAGGACCGCTGTTGTTGCTGTTGTTGTTGTCATTGACGTTGTTATTGCTGTTGTTGTTGTCATTGACGTTGTTATTGCTGTTGTTGTTGCCGTTGAACTTCATGTATAGTAACTGTTCTTG